ATGGTCCAAGTGCTGCTGGCTTCTGAGCCGCAAGGATGGAAGCAGCTTCTCCAAGGGTTTCGCAGCGAGCAGCTCGGCAAATTGCTGGAATGTCTGCGCATGCTGCGCCCAGGCGCAAGGAAGCCCACCTCCGCAAGAAGCGCAAGAGAAGCGCAGCGGAACATCGTGGATGACAACAGCGATGAAGCACCACAAAGGAAGTATCTCCACTGGCACAGGCAGAGAGGTCGATACGAAGCCAAATGTGAAGTGGGTAACCTTGAGATTCGCTCACCATATTCGCTTTTCCTGCCAGTCGCAGCCTACTACCACTCTGCAATTGTGGAGCTTCGGGGCTTCATTCAGCAGTACTTTCGGGTGAAGCCAGATGCTACCTTTGAAGCAGCACTGAAAGATGCTTTCATGAAACTTGGTCGTGCAGGATATTGTTGCCCATTCACATTCACTAGTCGCAGATTTCTTGAATCTCGAAAGCATCTCCGAATGCCAGCTGTTTACGACTTGGAGACAGCTCTTGAGATGCGCCGCGACTTGCTCGAAGTGCCCACGGTCGCGAGGTTCAATCAGGTCAAGAAGAACTGGGACAAGAAATTACAAGATCATGAAGCGCAGGCAAAACGCCATGACAAGGCCCACGAGCTGAAAGGCTACATCTTGGCCCAACAGGAGTTCCTTTGTGAGTGTCCAACGGTTCGCCTTCGAAAGCTGGGCAAGCAGCCCCCTGATGTGATGCTGAAGGTTCCAGTGCCGGGAAATCTGGCAGCGCGGCTGCAGGCGGGTGGGCAGGAAGTGGCAGAGCTGCAAAAGATGCTCTCCGGCGTTGCCGGGCGGAAAGCTATCATGCAGTTCTTCCGGGCAGAGCACGTGCGGAGGTTGGCCCTGGACTATGGAGGGTGGGGGCGGATGGGTCCAATGAATGACACGCAGAAAGCAGGCATCCTTGGTTTCGTGCCGATTGTGGACTTAGCTTGGCTCAGCTGCGCCAACTCCACATGGAGACAGGAAGTCCACCAGCACCTGGCGAACCGTGGCAGCCAGGCTGTTGTGCTTACACCGCGAGATTTTAGCATGATCGCACCTCTTCCCCAGATCCTTTACTTCTTGAGTGAGAAGCTGCAAGGAGTGCAACGCATGGACTTGAGAGAGATGCCGCTGGACGTGATGTCCAGCAGCTTGTTGTGGGCAACCCTGTCGGAGCTCCACAGCCTCCAGCTGGTTGTCGTTCACAGGTCGCACGCGTCGTACCCGCCGATAGCTCTCGAGAGGCGGTTCTCCGTGCAGGTCTCGCTTTGAGTGCCAATGAACCAATGAAGGCTCGTCTGCAAGCCGTAGAAAAAAAGTGCGTGTGGTGCGACGGCGAGATTGCACAGCTCTCGCATTTGCAGGACATGGTGACAAGACCTGTTGCTCTGCCCGTTGCATTGTTCTCCAGGATGTTGATACGTACAGAAGCCTCGATTTCAGCTCGCAGTGTTGAGAGTCGTGGAAAGCTAAGGCCTTTCTCTTCCATGCTACGCAGTATCTGCTGAGTCAAGCCCTAAACCCTAAGCCCTGAACCCTAAACCCTAAACCCTAAACCCTAAACCCTAAACCCTAAACCCTAAACCCTAAATCCTAAACCCCGAACCCTAAACCCTAAACCCTAAACCCTAAACCCTAGTTAAACCCTAAGCCCTACACCCTAAGCCCTCAAGAACCCGAGCCTCAGACTGAGAAGCCCCGGATGCCCACTTGAGCAGCTCGATGGCCTCTCCTGAAGGCCGGTTTCCGGGAAACCCTCAACCCTAAACCCTAAACCCTAAACCCTAAACCCTAAACCCTAAGCCCTAAGCCCTAAGCCCTAAACCCTAAACCCTAAACCCTAAACCCTAAACCCTAAACCCTTGTCTCTTGGTGGCTTTGGGGTTTCCGGTTCAGGGTTTGGGGTTTATACAGGGTTTAGGGTTTCGGGTTCAGGGTTTGGGGTTTATACAGGGTTTAGGGTTTCGGGTTTAGGGTTTGGGGTTTATACACGGTTTAGGGTTTAGGGTTTTATGGCCTTAGGGTATAGGCTTTGGGGTTTCGGTCTCTTGGTGGCTTTGGGGTTTTGGGGTTTTGGGGTTTCGGGTTCAGGGTGAAGGTTTTGGGTTTGGGGTGGGCTTAGGGGTTTAGGGGAAAAGGGTTGAGGGTTTAGGGTTTGGGGGTGAAGGTTTCGATTTTGGGTTAGGGGTTGAGGGTTTTAGGGTTTAGGGCTTAGGGCTTAGGGGAACAGGGTTGAGGGTTGAGGGTTTAGGGATTAGGGTTCTGTCCCCCGATCCTGGGCGCCTGATCACCGGAGAGGAGTGCTTGGCAATGCAGGGGCTTTGAAAGCAGCTTTGGCGTTGTGGCTGAGACGAAGGAGAATGTTCAGAAGCGCCTGGCCGGCAAAGCATCATCCTTTCATTTCTTTGCTTTCCGGACGCTGGTGGCGTTCCAGACTCTTGATATCCAGTGCATGATGTTGCCGAATCTAGTTTTTTTGTAGTTGCTGAAAGTGCTGAAAGGCCTGCGCAGGACACACTTGGAGATTTTGCTATGCACTTTGTCACATGTGCCAGTAGCCACACTGAGACACAACGTGTGGCGAGCACTTGCACTCAGAAAGCTGAGAAACTAGGACACTAATTCAGCCCTCAGCCCGAAATCCCCCGCCCCGGCCGGCACCTTATTACAGAACCTCACAATGGTGGGCGCCAAAAATCGAGGCCTTTACATTTCGGAACACCACCTGTACGACTGTACGACTATTCAGTGGTGCCCTAAACCCTAAACCTTAAACCCTAAACCCCAGACCCCAAACCCCAACCCTGAACCAACGACCCTACTTGAAGGTTCATGGCACTTACAAACCAATTATAACTGGGCTTATAACCCTACTTATCATTGGGAGAACCCCTATAAGGCCCTTATAAGGGGTATGATAAGTAGGGTTATAAGTACAGTTATAATTGGTTAGTAAGTGCCATGAACCTTCAAGTACAACCCCACCGAAACCCGTTTACCAGGGCCCGCCGGCCCGCTGCTGGTCGTCATCCCGGGCCGCAATGGCCGGGCCCTCTGGTTCCTCAGCCATAAAAACCCTAAACCCTAAACCCTGAACCCGCAGCCCTAGCCCTAATCCCTAAACCCTAAACCCTATACCCCATACCCCATAACCCTAAACCCAAACCCTAAACCCTAAACCCTAAACCCTAAACCCCATCTCCCCAACTAGAACCCACCAACAGAACCCGAAACCTGCTTGTAGAACCCTGAGCCCCTACAGAAAAGCCCCAAACCTCAAAGCCCTAGAAGCCCTTCAGCTCAATAGCGTTTTGAACTCTACAGCCCCTTCAAACCTACTATCTGCTCAAGAGCCCGTAGAAAATGACAAAAACCCCTCTATTTCCCGATAAAAAAGACTGCTGTGTTTTTGTTGAAGGGTTTAGTTGAAACCCACAGATCTCTGAAGCCCCGAAGCCTCTAAACCCCTGAAAAACGCCCTCAAAGCCGCAAAACACCCCGTGCCGCCGTGATGGCACGATGTTGGTGTGGCCGAAGCCCTACTCGAGATTCGACACGACACTAAACCCCACATCCTTAAATCCCTGAAGCCTTTAGACCCCAAGCCCCAAACCTCCCACCTCCACCCGGCTCCAAACAAAGAGAGAAGCTCCCCTAAACGCCTGAACCCCCAAAACCACTAAAGTCCCAACTCTAAGCCACTAAGCCCCTAAGCCCCTAAGCCCCTACCCCCAAACCTAAGCCCGTGAACCCCCAAGCCCTAACACGTTAAACCCCCAACCCCTAACCCTTAAACCCCTAAACCCCTAAACCCCTAATCCCCTAATCCCCTAATCCCTAAACCCTAAACCCTAAACCCTAAACCCTAAACCCTAAACCCTAAACCCTAAACCCTAGACCCTAAACTCCAAACTCCAAACTCCTAGACCCTAAACCCTAAACCCCTACCCCCTAAACCCTAAACCCTAAACCCTAAACCCTAAACCCTAAACCCTAAACCCTAAACCCTAAACCCTAAACCCTAAACCCTAAACCCTAAACCCTAAACCCTAAACCCTAAACCCTAAACCCCAGGCCGGGAGCCGGTCCTGCGGCGCCTGGTGGCCGAGGTCGGCCCGGTGGCGGTGCTGGTGCCGGCGAGGTGCCTCTAATTTGTTTTGTCCGGGGGGTTTAGGGTTTAGGGTTTAGGGTTTAGGGGTTAGGGTTTGAGGGACTTCCGGGCTGTTTCGGGGTTTAGGGGTCCAAGGCTTCAGGATTTTGAGGGTCTTTTGGGGGTTTTAGGGGTTGAGGGTCTGAGGGTTCAACGTTTAGGGTTTAAGGGTTTTTGGGGTTTAGGGGTTGAGGGCTTAGGGATTTTCAGGGTTTAGGGTTTAGGGATTTTTGGGGTTTAGGAGTTCAGGGGTTGAGTTCAGAAGAGCCAAGGGAGGCCATGTATACGTCCAAAATGTTTGGTTCAGAGCGCCCTAGAACCCTGAGAGGGGTTAGTGACCCAAAAAGCCAATACCCCTTGAATGAGGAATATGCCTTCCCTTCTCTGGTTTCAGGTATTTTTAAACCCTGAAACGAACCCTAAACCCTAAACCCTAAACCCTAAACCCTAAACCCTAAACCCTAAACCCTAAACCCTAAACCCTAAACCCTGAACCCTGAACCCTGAACCCTAAACCCTAAACCCTAAACCCTAAACCCTAAACCCTAAACCCTAAACCCTAAACCTTAAACCCTAAACCCTAAACGCTAAACCCTAAACCCTAAACCCTGACCCTAAACCCTGAACCCTAAACCCAAAATATAGCGTATTGGGCAGTCTGCGGAGCTGAAGCCGCCTGTGGTCGCAGGTTCGCCACCCTCTGCGCCTGGGCGCATTCCTTGGCCGACGCCTGGATCGAGTTCGGGGCGGCGGGAGGCAGGCGCAGGGGTCCCAGGGTTTAGGGTTGAGGGTTTATGGTTTTGGGGTTTACGGTTTAGGGTTTAGGGTTTAGGGTTCAGGGTTTTTAGGTTTCGGGTTTAGGGCTGGGGGTCTAGGCCTCAGGCCCTATAAGCCCCCTAGACCCTGAAAGCCTCGCAAGCCCCCAAAGCCCGTCAATCTGAACAAGACCCTCAAACCGAAACCCCAAGCCCTAAAGCCAAACCCAAACCCTAAACTTTAAATCGCCCTCTGAGCCTCAAACCTTAAACCCCAAGCCCCAAACCTCCCAGAAGCCCCTAAGCCCTGCGCGTGGGCGAGGGGCGCCAAACGCCCCAATCTGCGCGGAAGAAGCCTGGGAGGCACGACTGGGGGGTTTTCATAGAGGGCTTGACTGAGGTAGTGTTTGGGGTTTAGGGCTAGGGTTTGGATTTGGGGGTATCCAGACCAGGTTTAGGATTTAGGGTTTATGGTTTGTGGTTTAGGGTTCAAAAGTCTAGAATCCATCACAAGGGTTTTCCCAAAAGTCGAGATCCATCACAAGGGTTTTCCCGTCATATCGGGGTCGGAATAACTTCTGGCAATTTTCCCTTATGGCCCCTTCATATTTATGCTGTAATAACCCCCCCCCAAAAAAAAACCCTGTTCTGATTATTAATTAAGGCTCCTACAGTCCTACAGTAGGGCCTTTTTCGGTTTTTCCGACCAGTTTCCTTCCACCCCCACCTTGAACAGGTTTAGGGTTTAGGGTTTGGAGTTTAGGGTTTACGGTCTATTTTCCAAGCACCAGCGGGTGCAGGGCAGCAGTGCTGTGCAGAGACCCGAAAAGGGCCCACAGGGTTTATAGAGTTTAGGGTTTAGGGTTTAAGGTTTAGGGTTCAGGGTTTAGGGTTTTTCCATCAGGGTTTAGAGGGCTTACAGGGCTTCCGAGAGTTTAGAGGGTTTAGGGCTCGTGGAGTTGGTTTGGGGCCATCTTTGGGTCTAACATTTGGGTCTTCCTCAATTTGGGGGTTCAAGGTTTGGGATTGACTGTTCATCGGGTTTTAGGGTTGTGGGGGGGGGGGGTGGGGGCGGGTTTGGGGCTTGAGGGCCCTAAACCCTAAACCCTAAACCCTAAGCCCTAAACCCTGAACCCTAAACCCTAAGCCCTAAACCCTAAACCCTAAACCCTACGCGGAAACCCTACAAACCCTATAAACCCTGTAAGACCTGAACCTTATGAACTCCATGAGCCCATAAATGCCACAAACCCTACAAGCTTTGTAAGCCTTACAAGCCAAAGAGCACAATACCCCTTAGCTAAGGACTATTCGAACCCTGAACCCTGAACCCTAAACCCTAAACCCTAGACTCACAAGGGGTGTTG